CATAAGTTATAGCAGTCATCCCAGGTAATTTTTGACACGTTATGCACGGGTTATGGACATGTGGATAGAAGATTTTCAGAAGCCCTGGCACTGCATGCAGTGTATGCGCACTAAGACAACTTATTAGTATATGGTGTGCTGACTCAGCCATACACTCACATGTGGGGTGTATGGCTGAGTCAGCACACCATACACCATGGCATGCATACTAATGAGCTTATGATAGTATTGTTATCATTTTTGAGCAAATGTACAGAGAGTGGGTGTAGTGTAACCTATATTAGTCCCACTGCCATTTGCTCTCTTGGGAATGTTGCAAGTGCCCTTTGTGTCTTTATACCACTCAGCCTTGTTCCTGTGTGTGTGTGTGCGTGCAAGCTAGTATTAGAAGCCATATTATATCATTCAGTGGAAAGAAATTATATACATGATGCACCTATTATCTCATCCTTGTGCACATGCGTTAAAATTACGCACTTCTTTTTATATGAAATCCTGTGCGAATATTTTCTCCGCCTTTCGACCCTTTTTCTTGCGACAGCTCTACAGTCCTTTCTGACGTGTATAGATGTTCTACATTATAGGCACTAGTTGTACACATTTGCCCTCTACTTACATGAACAGCAAATTTGCAGTATAATCCCCGTGTTTCAAATGCATAGCATGCTATAAGGTTTTCGTTTGTTGATAAACTGTCACACCATTGCTAATTTTGGCCGAATTGACTTTTTGTGCACTCTTTCAGAGTGGGAGGAAAAGAAGAACGGACCCAGGTATGTGACCTAGAAAACTAAGGTGTGGTATACATACTCTAGGAAACTAACATGACGGGCATGTGATCTGATGATGCGTGTATGTATGGCACACACGCATACATGGGCTGCAGCCCTGCTGGATTACATTTGAACATAAAATGTGCTTATGTCACAACACATCACATGCCTGTCACGTTCTTTCCCAAGAGTGTACTGGGGCATACAAAATTGGATACTCTTTCTGTAATTAGACCATGATTGAAATGCGATATTAAAAGCACTAAAGTGCAAACCCTCGACCAAATGCGCATGTGCAGTAGCACTAATTAAATGGCTGGGCTTTGTAAGCCTTTACTCGTGGTATCCTGACACGGGCTAGGTATAGTAGTAGATAGCATGCGGGAGTCGATACATGCCTTCGTGTGACTTCCGTGCATGCAGATACACAGCGAGCGAGGGACGGACGTGGTCGAGGTACGCCTGTGCTAATTTGCATATTGGCTTGTTCACTTGCTTTTCACGCCATAACTTCTGAACACGGCACTTTTACGAAAATCGCCATTTGGAAAATGAAGCCAGTGTAGCGTTGAACCCGTTGGTGTCGCTTTTTTACCTGTTTGTTGCGCGTGGTGGCACAAAACTTGGTAACAGACAGACGGACGGACAGACGGACAGACAAACCAAGTACAGTAACCCTCGCTGCGCATGCGCGCCGAGGGTTAATTAGTCCGCACAATTGTAATCCAATATGAATATCGGTATTTATTCTTGGTGCAAGTAATTCGTTTTGCGAAACAAAACTTTGGTTAGCAAATGTCCAGAAAGGGTTAGCTGTAGCCTCGTTTCCAGGCTCTCTCTCTCCATGTGCGCATACACCTTTGACATAGAGAAAAGCGGAGTGGGAGCCTGGTACATCTTGGCACGTGAGCAACATCTGGGGTGGACACCATTGATGCTAGAGCAGCGCAGGGTGGAGCGAGTTTGCCAGGAGCCACAGGAAGGGGAGAGCAGGGAGATCGAGTGCCACTACCCTTGATCAGGAGACTGAAGTCTAGAGCTTATAATAGTGACGTACATAGCTACCAGCGTGTGACGTCTTTAGCTGGCATCTGAGGCATCGTGGAGACGGCTGAAGGCTCGCTGACTACTCTGATCTCCCTGCTTTCCCCTTCCTGCGCCTCCTGGCAAACTCACTCCGCCCTGCGTTTCTCTTGTGTCAAACAATGTCCACCCCAAAGTACAAGCATCAAATGGTGTCCACCCCAGACACCCCACACACACCCCAGTAGCTGCTTAGTTCTGCTTCTACGTTTGCATGTGTAGAAGAAAGGAAGGTGAATAAAGGGCTAGGAGTGCATCCAGGCAGCAACCAGCACTCATTTAGTCATAGTCTACAAACGAGGTAACCAGCTGTCCGTGCCAGTGCTTAAGGTTACGGGATACTCCCGTGGGCGTGCCTACATGTTACACAAACGTTTTTATTACCAGCGTTTTAAACCACATCTTTATTTTATACACACGCTGTATACTAACGTCGTTTTGTACGCACAACAAAAAACAGCGGCAGAGCTGACACCATCGCTGCTGTAGGCTAGTTCACATCTTACCAAACTTCTCGCCAAAAATCTCGGTTAGGAGAAGCTCCAGCACCGTCATTTTCAAGTGAGAGGTACTCCTCCGCAGGCTCTAGCGTCCTACGGAAGCTTTTATCGATCCGGTTTGAGATGTCTCAAAAACAGCGGCTAGCGTGATATATTTCGCATGGAACTCGAATTTCACAATTTCATAACTGACGGAACTGGACCGCTAAGAAAAATGCTTCCGTAGGGTGCTTTATTTGCCACCGAAGTCTACTTTTATGTGCTTTGCCCAGCTAAAATTGGTCCAGTAGGTTTTATCTGTTGCGAGGAAAAGTTCTTACTCAACTGGCCCATGCAGATCAATGGTCGTGACATAAACGCGTGCGTTAAATCGCGCAAGTATACCGTAACCTTAAGCGCAACATTACTCATTTTTCAACGGCCGTTGTTCCATGGATTAATTTGGGAAAGCCACCATAGTGTTTTGCAAATTTTTGTTTTTGGGGGTCAAAAGTCTCCATTCACACGTACGGCACCAAGGGTATACTACTTACTGACTTCTTATGTTTGTGCTCTCCACAGAAGTCCATGGGAGAGACGTGGTAAGGGCTAGAGTGTGTTTTTAATGTTCAATATTGTTCGTCAAGCCACATGGCCTCAGTGTAGTCTTGTGGAGGCTCGGCTCTACCCTCTCAACTGTTGTCTGTAGTTGTAGCATACATGCTGTGACATCTTGTTCTGTGCTCAATCATCGGGGAAAATGAGTTAGGATGAGGGGATTTCAACATACGAGGTAGTCTCATTCATTTGTGCTAAAGTCTGGCAACATGTTTTTGATGGCATACAGTCTTTGGTGTAAAGTTTGTTTCAGTTTTGTACGGTTTTTTCCTGTAGTTTTGAGTTTTGCAGGTTACTAAGGGAAATAGTAAACCTTGGCTTTGCAATCTGATTGAACCTGTCAAGTTTACTTGGTGTGTGCCTGTCATGGTAAAGTAAGAAATTCTAGGTGGTGTTGAGTGCAAGCACTTGAGGAGGAAATTCCTAGACTCACAAGTGCGAGGATGCATGAGGGATGAAAGTGGTTTTTACAGTGTGTATATTCATACATCAATGTGTACGTGCATGTAAATGAGTAAGTGTGTCTGGAAAGATATGTTGTAGGTTCACGATGGTAAAACATTAGTGGTTTGTTAACTTTTTTTGAAATGCAGGACCCGGGAATCATCATAATGTTTGAAGAGAGGAAGATACCGAGGATGATGCGGATGCGCTGCTGCCCAATTAGGCAGGGAAGAGGTAACTATCTCACTAATGTTATATATGTGACTGTGCACACAAAAACCACCCATACGTCAACTAAATATATTTTTTTATGAAGGTACACTTCTTTTACACACTTGTAGAAAGTTTGGCCCGCTCCGTTTTTTTTGAAAGCCATTCTAAAATGTGAATCCATAGAAACGGTGATTTTTACCCCCACGTCAAGTTTCTGTATACTCATCCATGTCACGCAGCAGTAAAAGTGTCGATGTTTAGCTGGCTGACAATCACTGAGGACACAAAAGCAGTGATTTATTCTTGCATATGAGGGTAGAAATAGACAATAGGGAACCCATAGTGATGTTCATCTCTTCTGAAAAAGCACAGGTGAGCATAGAAGCTTACCGATCCGCTTGCTACTCCATATACTTTCCGTGTCACAAAGATGCGGTTGACATAGCTGCCGCTCTAGGCTTCAGCAGCTAGCACGTGTGGATTTCGCTGCTCTAAGGGGGGTAGCAGTATCGCTGGAAGTATCAATCGCGTTCGGATGATGTGAAAAACCACACTTTTGTCGTCCAACTGACTGATTTACTTCTGTTGTAGGGGTGAGCGGTGCAGCCACAGTAAGGGCGTTCAAAGCACACCTTGACGCCCTTATCATGGCGCAGTGCGACCCTGCTGTTAGGGTCACAGATGCTAGGGGAAGGGATGTCTTAGGGATCTACCAGGGTATGAGAGGTAAGGGTGACAACAAAACATATTTATTTCTGGCTGTGTATATGTATATGTAGGACTGTACACGCGAAAACCAGGCAAAAGTCGGCAAAATCGATTTTTAGTAAACACCGTCAGAAGTCTAAACAGCAGGTACCGTGCGATTCAGACTTTTTCCATGGAGAAGGACCTAGATCTACCTAGAAAACAGATCTATACTTTAGAGCGTCGAAACTCGCTCCCCATATATATAACTAGAATTTTTCCCATCGCATATAGATAGCGAACTCTTCAATGTCCAACAGCTCCTTCCTAGCACAGGGGTGGGGGAACTAGGGAGTAGACGCAAGGAGGAGAGGGTTGACGGCGGGGAAATTCTTTGCAATCACTACAGACGGGCAGGGTCTGTGTAACCTGCAGATTATCCATATACCAATGGGACCGTTACAGACACTGTGACCACCACCTATGGGCAGGGTCTGGGCAATAGACCATTCCCTCTAAGAGCGAAGTATGCGTGGCATGCCTCACGTCATACGGACCTTGGGGTGAAATGTAATGACGTAATGCTCTTGGATTATACACAATTTTATACTCTGCTTACGGGAGCGATTGCCTCCTTTTGCGCACCCGTAACGGCATTTTTGCGCAGGCTATTGTGCGCTTGCGTGATGTGAGTGCAAAGTTCAAGCCATGACGAATCGAACGGACCGTGAATGAACGATTTTGGCCGTCGTACTCCTGGGCTATGTCGCCACGAATGAAGCTACCTTTCACACGATTTGTACTCTGCCTACTGTGCTCGTGGTGAGCTAATACTGTACACGAAAGTGAGGTGCTGTCTCGGGTTCGGGTATGGCCTAGCTACATACGTAGCCGGTGTAGCCTAAGTTAGTAGGCCAGTAGCCAATGATGAGTTTATGATCACGCATTATGTATAATATTATCCTCACTTAGATGCCAAACTACTGTGTTGTCTGTGGGCTCTCTAAGTCAAGTGACCCTACCATATCACTATTTCGTCTACCTAAAGAACCAGGGAGGAGAAAATTGTGGCTAGATAATCTTGGTTTTTGATGAACAAGGTGTAACTACAGAATCTCGTGTATGCTCGAGACATTTTCGTGATGGAAACCCCCCAAAATGCTCCCTCTCTCGACATCGGAAAGGAATTTTCCGAGAGACCAACCAACATAACACCTAGAGGAAAACGCCATGCTTCACGTGAGATAGCTAAAGTTCAGTTAGCTAAACGTTCTTGTACTCATACATCTCCTACATCAGCTGTGTCACCTACAAGTAGTCTCCCATCTCCACTATCACTAGCCTCTACACCTTCACAATCTCCCTCATCTGGATGTACCCCATGTACAGTGGAACCTCCCTAAGACAGACACCATTGGGGCAGAGCCATGTGTCCATCTTATGGAGGGTGTCCTTTATTCAGAGGTTTTTGCTTTAGGTCCAAGTGCTTATGTATTCTGATTGTAAAACATATAATTTTACAATATATACCATGGATATTGTGACTGAATGGTAATGATAATAGTTCATGTAGTGATGTAATTTTGGACTGAAGTAGATATCCATCAAGGCGACTCTGCCGATTTTTGCAGTGCAGTAAGGCAAGTTTGTACACTGCAGAGGAAAATAATTGTAGCTTCTGTAAGATGACCTTTGCTGTCTAAATACTCCCGTACACCTTCAAGATGGGAAATGGCTTCTGATAAATTTTTAACCTTTGGTTGAGGAGGTCCTAACTCTTCTTCCTCTTCCTCCTCCTCATCCCCATGGTCTGAAGACGTACCAGTAGTTGAGTCCAGGCTTGCAAGAAACTGTTGGTCCCAGCTATCATCATCAGTTTCAAAACATGTGACAAGGTCATCGTCGCCATTAATGAACTCTACACTGGAGCAAGTTACTCCCTCAGGTTGGATTTGTTCCATGAGACTTTCAATCTCTGACGTGTTCGAATCAATATCCAAAAAAGGATCATGCTCATTGGGACGGGTAACTACCGAAAAGCTGTCATCCAATATTCCTGCTTTCCTAAAGCATCTCCTGATCGTTTCACAGCGCTCACACGCCTCCCATGCCTGAGCCACCCACCTAATGCAGTGGAGAATACTTACTGACTTTGCGACCTCCGAGGCTTTATCACAAGCATCAATCTGAGAAAGAACAGAGTGCGATAATGCACTTTAAAATTTTGAATTATGCCAAGATCTAATGGTTGTAATTTGGAAGTGGTGTTGGGAGGAAGAAATATAACTCTGATGTTGCTAAAACGATCTTTAACAGAATGTTCTGGATGGCATCCAGCATTATCCATTAGAAGAATTATGCTACGACCCCTTGATGACAATTTTCTGTTGACCTTAGTCAGCACAGACACAAGAATATCTCCCGTCATCCATGCTTTTGGCTGACTAAAGTACGAGACGGGAAGATCGCTGATGTCAATTGACTTGAAGCATCTTGGTTTAGCTGACTTCCATATCACGATTGCAGTTTCCTTGCCACCAGCAGCATTGACCAGGAAAGTTACTGTCATTCTTTCTTTGGATTTCTTACCACCATGACATGAAGCTCCTTTTTGGGCAAAACCACGATCTGGAAGGGCTCTCCAGAAACACCCTGTCTCGTCAAGGTTCCAGATATCCTCAGCTGCATAACCTTCAACAAGCTCACATACTCTTTCTTTCCAAGACTCAACTGTAACACCACTAACATCTGCCGATTCGCCACTAATCTTTACATACCCCACATTGTAATGCCTTTTCCATTTATCTATCCACCCATTGGAGGCCTTAAACCCCTCAATATGTAGTCGCTGAGCAATTTCCCTGGCTTTCTCACACAGTTGAGGACCGGACGGATAAATGTTCTTGGAGCACGCAAGGAGGTACCACTTATGCAGCGTTTCATTTATCTCGGAGAACTCGCTAGAACGAGCCCTTTTTCTCATGCAGATGCTACTGGATTCGTAGAGCTCAAGCATTGATACTTTTATTCTTTAAAATCGATGATATCTGTGTTCTACCGCAGTTAAATTGTTCTGCTAACCTTCTCACGCCAACACGACTCTCCACTGCGACTTTAATAACTTCGACTTTTTTCTTCAGTGTTAGCGTATTCTTGCTTTTGCCCTTCAGAGTAGAAAGAGACATACTGTGCATAAAATGGAAATGAAGTGGATGACCACGTGGACTGCAATCGAAAAACCACGCCTACAAGTAGATGGCAAGTCAAGTTGTAGGTACAAGTCTTCGTGTTCTCGAGTTAGATTCGTATGTCAGAGGTTACCACGCATACAAGGATATGTGGAACCCCGCACTAGGTGACGTTCTTCCACTCGAAAGAGAGTTAACTAACCCTAAGGACAAGTTTTCCGTTGCTCTTATGAAAGGAAGTACGGTTGTCGGCCATATACCGTATAATATCGCACCCGCTGGGTCTCACTTTCTAAAAAGAAGCATTAATAAAGCTACAGTTGAAGTTACAGGAGCTGCTGTCAATCGTGGTGCCGGATATGGCATGGAAATCCCTTGCAAATACAGATTTTATGGCACGAATGACTACATTGAGAGACTCCGACTTATCCTGTCGTAGAAACAGTAGTAGTACTGTGTAGCTATAGCAATTATGTGTCCAAGTGAAAATAGTGCAAGCGTCCGCGCTGGTGCTCAGTGTCCGTTATCGGAGGTTCCATTGTATTGTGTCAGTGAAATGGGGAGTAGTGTACTGTCCGTTTTACGGGTAAGGGAGGTGTCCGTTTCCGGAGTTTTTTGTACAGCTTTTAATGGAAATATTTCGGGACCCGCGCAAGCGTCCATTTTACCGCAAGTGTCCGCAGTTGGGAGGTGTCCGTTAATGGAGGTTCCACTGTACTACATTTGAGCGCCCTCTATCAGAGTGTGCATCAGATTCACAATCAAGTATTGGAACAGGCACTAGCCCTACGGTTTCTAGCGGGACTTTATTTTCAATGCCATCAGGGTTGCGTTCAGAAGTACAGATCACAGTAGATGTTGCTCTTTCAACTCAGATTAAAGTGCTATAATCAGAGGTAGAGGAACTAAAGGTTGCACTCAGGGATGCTAAGAGAGCTCCTTTTCGGATAGATTGTGTATCTCATGATGACACCCTCATTTCTCTATACACTGGCTTTCCATGTTATGATGTATTGCTCTCATTTTACAACTTTCTTGGACCAGCTGTCAATACACTAACGTATTGGGGTACAAAGAAACTCACACAAAGCGACGTAAGAAACTAGACAGTTTGAATCAGCTATTCCTTACTCTCATCAAGCTTAAACTGGACCTGAATATACGAGACCTAGCATTTCGCTTTCAAGTTTCTACTACTACTGTGTCTCGCTACTTCATTACCTGGGTCTGCTTTCTCTACAATGAACTGAAAGAAGCAAATTGGTTCCCAATGAAAGAACAAGTTGCCGGAACTCTTCCCCATTCGTTCAGGCTAAAGTATCCGAATACTGTGGCTATTATTGATGCCAGTGAGATTTTTGTGGAAACTCCATCCGATCTAGTACTACAATCAACATCTTGGAGCAGCTACAAACAACATAATACGCTAACATTTTTAGTTGCCTGTACTCCTAATTCATTCATCTCACCCCTTTACCTTGGCTCAGTGTCCGATCCTGCCCTCACACGTGATTGTGGCTTCCTTCAAAAACTTGAAGGGATGGAAGGAGTTTCAATAATGGCCGACCGAGGCTTCACAATAAAAGAAAGCTTAGCTAGACTCAACATTCATTTAACCCTACCTCCTTTCATGGAAGGTTGTAGTCAGCTTCCACCAGAAGATGTACAGCATGGTCGCTCTATAGCCTCGCTTCGTATCCATGTTGAGAGGGCGATTGGTCGAATGAAGCAGCTTAAGATACTTACTAATGTGTTTCCGCTAAGAATGGCACGCATTGCAAATCAAATTGTCACAGTTTGTGCTTGTCTCGCAAACTTTCAGCCTGCATTAGTTCCAGTTGGTGAAATTCAAGAAACAGACAATAGTGACACAAGTGACTCTGACAATGAAAGTGTGGTGTATTGATTTATTATTCATGACGTAAATCACGAAGTGGTAACCCAAATGGATGCTGTGGACACACGATTTCAGGGGCTATACACATATCATAAAAAGTGCACAATTTAGGCAGTAGTTCGGTTTCCCAGAATTTAAGGGCATGGTGGATACGCGCCACATCCTTTTCCCCACTCCCATTTGGCCCTGTACTTGAGAGAAGTACACGTGTGATTCCTTTAGGACAAGATGCCCATCTGAACCCTGCTTTAGGAAGAAATCACTTTTGCTGGCTGTGAGAGTAGGGGTTGTATCCTGGTACTTGAAGGGACACTTGATTTCTACAAAACCGTAAGGCTCTGATACATTTGATGGGTCGTACACAGTAGCATCTGGGGAAGCAGCAAGGAATGGATATTTATGTGATATTATTACACCTGTCGTAGCAGTAAGAAGGTGTGGATGGCCATGTGCTTGCTGATACTTAACATATGCATCCAAAGCAGTTGCATCCATTGACCGCCCATAGCTCAATGCAGCACCCGTTGCAGTTTTCACTCCTAGAACTGTAAGTACTAGGTTGTCTGGAGGAGTAGAAGGCTTTAGCTGCCTTACACGACCAAACAAGGATGCAGTCAAACGTAGTCTACGTGCTTCAAACCACAGAGGTGATGTTGACTGTCCTCTTGTTTCGATTTGAATACGACGGATGTCTTCTTCTGAGACTTCTAAGGTTTTCTTGAACTTCATCACCTTCTCTAGGAGCTGCGATTTTGTTAGAAATGTTGGGGTTGCTGGTGTGTCTGCACAAAGAGATGGGTCAAAAAGCAGGGAAACACACAGTCCTTTTCCTTTGACATCTTCTAGTAGCCGGGGCAGTCTTTTTGCTATTGTGTTTCGCATGGCTTCTGGTCGTGGGTCAAACTTTTCCATGCCTTCAAACGAATATCTTCGTGTCTTCCCATACTCGTGCTTTTGAAAGCATGCTGTTGAAACTAGCTGTGTGTTTGCTTTCCGTTTGCAAGGTTGCTTCCACTTACATGGTTTTGATGTGCATTGAATGGCTTCTTCATCACTGCTATTGTCTGACCCAGAACACGATGACAGAGCCACCAGTGTGAAGCAGTGCTGATATGTGAACACAACAGGCAGACAACCTATCAAAACACATTTGAAACCTTGTAGTATTACTAATCACATTAACCCTGCAGCACATTCACACGATGCTTGATAACATCTCCACAACTTGATCCCTCAAGGTTCGCTTTCTCAATAGCAACTTGACTGAGTATGAACCAGACCGCATAGAGGGTATTACTGTACTCTGGATAAAAGTGAAGAGTGGATGGCGTGTCTGGACTTCAACTTTGCTGACACGTCCAGATGATATCCTCGCTTTAGTGCACGGAAAGCCATAGAGCCTCGGGCATTCCCCACCCCTTCGGCAAGGTAAGTATACAGCGTTGACACGGGAGTTGCGTCGCTATCTGTTCAGCATTAGATTCTTCAACAGATTGCCATCCATGAAGTGGAAAGTTTGGGGGTGGGAGGGGTGCAACGTTCACATTTGAAGACACGAGACTCTGCCTTTTTCTTTCCAAGTATGTCCCATCAACGTCAACAACACCAACGCCTTCTGCCTTCGCACTTCGTATCCTAAACACAATGTATATACATTTTGTATAGTTTAGAGAACAAATCCACTCTTGTCAGACTGTACTGCTATAGATTGTTATGTTATGTGACTGAACTTTCATGTATAGCAGTATTTAACCAGCCACATGTTTGTACAAGTCAGTGCAGTTGCAGTAAATGATTGTGCAGTTGTTGTCTAAAAGTCAGTCTGCGTAAAGTGCGGCTCTGCCAACAAGTTTATGCAATGTAGTTATACGCGCGTAGTTAATTGAATTCTTTAGGCTGTTAGAGGGAATGGCCTATTTGAAGAATGATGTATTACCGATAATCTTTTTGTCACCAAAATTGACCACGCATGCACAATGTTTTTAATAATATTTTCTTTGTGCAAGAGTGTGCATAGGTTCATGTGTCTCTAGATCAAGGCATGGTGACTTTTGCGTGTGTCTTGTAAATGCTGATTGCTCACAACTGCATGTGAGCGTTCCTATGCTAATCAAATCCAGTAGCGGCTTCTGTTGAAATAACTGAAGCTGTGCATCAACCAACAAAGACACTGTGATGGAAATGTAAAGTCCAAAATATCTTACAGGCATTGACATACATGCACGTAGATTGTGGTTTGTAACCCATGTAATGCATGCAAGTTACTTACTAATTGCCTATAGCCAACACGGTAATAACGAGAATTTGCATTGTGTATCTACTGGCTAAGTGTGCATTTATTAGAAGTGTGATGTGTGCATCAGGGCGAGTTGATAGAAACAGAGACAACAGAAACATTCCCACAAAGCAAAGTATAATGGGACTGGATACACTTGTAGTATATTACATATGGCACACACACACACTCTAAATAGAGAGAAAAGACGAGAAAAAATGGTGTTGGCCGGGAATCGAACCCGGATCTGTTGCAACAATGCTCCCAATTGCACCAACAACGCTTTTCAAAATATCGAGAGAATGAGATAGGGTGAGGCAGGAGGGAGGAAAACAGCTTGGGGTGGATCAACATACCTAATAAAAACGGTGTGTGTGTGGGCTCTGTTCAAAAAGCATCTGTTAAAAAAAACCAAAAACATGGAAAGATTGCAAAGTTTTAGTGAGTATGGCTTTCCAGTGGCAAATAGAAATAGGTATCAAGCAACTTAGTGTCTGTTACAACGAAATAATGTCGTTAATCAAAATAACACTGCTAGAGCGGAATATGCAAAGTATATATCACAAAATGTCGATTTCAACATAACACAAAAACCAAGGACTGTCTATTAAAAATATGGGGGGGGGGTGGATGAAATAAACACTAAAATATTGTCACTAGGGAAGAAGTACTACAGGAAGTTTCCAGTAGAGATCGGTAAAAAACATGGAAAGATTGCATTTTACAAACCCTGTAAAATAGGTATCAAGCAACTTAGTGTCTGTTGCAACGAAATAATGTCGTCAATCAAAATAACACTGCTAGAGCGGAGTATATATCACAAAATGTCGATTTCAACATAACACAAAAACCAAGGACTGTCAATTTAAATACGGGGGGGGGGGGGGTGGATGAAATAAACACATTGTCACTAGGGAAGAAGTACTACAGGTAGAGTAGCTTAGTACAGAACAAGTGATGCAATTATGTTGTAAGATGACACTGACCCCCACTTGCCGAACGTGAGAATGTCATGGAGTCCCGACAAAGTAACTAATGAAAAGCACTAAAGTGCAAACCCTCGGCAAGCTGCGCATGCTACTCATTCAGAACACCTTGATTACACCTGGTGATTGCTTTTGTACTTTTATACGGCATGAGAGGGAAAATAAAGCAGCTATATACTCGTTCAGAACACTTTGATTACACCTGGTGATTGCTTTTGTACTTTTATACGGCATGTGAGGAGGAGGACCGGAAAGATAATTCTGACCATATGTGCAAAGGTTGTATGAAAGGTTGGCCTTCAGAACTGGCAAAAACAAGCATCAGTATTAGTTTCTGTTTCTAATATAGACGTTCCGAAAATAATACAGAGAAGTTCCCACTGGCTTGACAATTCTCTTAGTAGGTGGGGGCAGGGGGGGATGCTGAGCGTATTCCAGGCAAAATCACGTGACGTACACATGACGAGTCTGTAATAGAACACAGGGGACACATAAAGGCCTACAAGTAGCCTTATGTAGGGCAAAATTACTCTGGATCAGCGCGAGAATTATTAGGGTCATAAAGTAACAAGGTGAACACAGGGATACAAAAGGAACTCAGCATGCGGCCAGCAGGCGATTCAGCCAACGCAGGACTAAACCCAGCACCGTACACACACGTAAACTGCACGAACAGCGTGGTAGCAAAAATTGTGTGGTGTCTTTACAGGCAAAATTGTATGTATCACTCACCAATTCTCTTGCTCTCTGCAGGGAAAAACGACGTCGCTTTCGACAACGAACGAATCACACCACTGTCACGTGGCATTCAGACCACACCTCCTAAGTTTAGGCAATAACAATTTCCTGTAAGAGCTCATTTCCTGCAAAATCGTCAAACTGTGGTGTTACTGAGCATGCCCAGAGCCAAAAAGTGGCATGAAAATCGCGACATACAAATCTACTGCCGAAGAGGTGGGCGTTGGACGACCATGTGCTAGCGCAGGGAGTAGTCGAGCAGTGCAATTCCACGATTTGCGGACATGCCTCCCATGCAATAAGGGCGAAACTATTAATGAGCTGCTTAGAGTAAGAATAGCACATGTCCAATATTTAAGATTTTCCGAACAACTTCCTAACAAACCCTTTTAGCATCACCAAATCAACCAGTACGCACCGTAAATGACGGTAATGACCGAAAGGTCAAAGTGTAAAGGTCAAAGGTCGACGGTCCGCGCATGCGCAGTGGGTTTTGGTCTCGTGTGTCTTTCTGCTTGCGTCTACTCGTCCATCGATGGCCTCCATGGGCTCAGATCCAGGACCTAGTGGTCTCTGTATAGAAGCAAACATAGCAGTGACCCTTCGGGCGAAAGGAAATGGCAACTCGACCAATGGATCGAGCGACACCCCCCACCGCCCAAGAAAGCGACCAAGAAACCCCGAAAATTGGAAGAAAAGCGTTGCGAAGGCCAAGAGAGCGAAAGGCGAGGAGTACACATCCCCGTGTACGGGAAAGATTGTTCCTGCTAGAGCAACTGGGCCCAATTGTCACTGCAAAAGGGGTTGTTTCAAGCGAGTGTCGACAGAAGAGAGGGCTCGCCTACTTGATGCGTTTGTCGGGTTATGATAATTATTACGACGACAATACACGTAGAGAGACACAACGTACACCAACCGAAAATGAGCACGACTGAAACTGCTGACAGTTCTAGAGAGTTATATAACCAGTTAACCACGTGGTCCGTTCGTCTGCTCATGCGCACCACATCACTCCCCCCCCAGTGACAGGCTTAGGGAACGATGCTCATGAGACGGTCTGGGAAATGGACTCGTCGTCCTGAACGTGTGGTCCTTGCTGGTGTAGTGTTGGCGGAGGTGAGAGAAGGTGCAGGAGGTGGTGTGGCGGGCTGTGGTTGGGGTAAACTGTCCACATGAGCTGGCTTCAGACGATCCAGGGAAACTTTGTCAGTGCGACCATTCAGTTGCAGTGTAAAGTACTTGGAGTCCCGTTTTAGCACTTTAAAGGGGCCTTCATAGGGGGATTGAAGAGGTTTGCGGACTGCGTCTGTGCGGACAAAGACATGAGTGCAAGTCGAAAGATCTTTGTGGACATATGTGTATGGCTGTGACGTCGCTCTGGGTGGAACAGCTCTCAGTGTGCGCATTGCGGTTTTGAGGGCAGTAAGTAACGTTGAACTGTCGCCAGTAGCAGGTGAGGTGTCTTGAAGGAAAAATTCACCTGGTAGACGTAGTGTCCTCCCATACACTAGCTCTGCAGCGCTACATTGTAGGTCGGTCTTGAGGGCGGTACGGATCCCTAGGAGGACCAACGGAAGGGTCTCAATCCAGTGTGAGGAGGATGAGTGGGCCTTGAGAGCGGATTTAAGTTGCCGGTGAAAACGTTCAATTATCCCGTTCGCGATTGGGTGGTAGGCGGTTGTGCGGAGGTGCTTGCAGCCGAGGAGTTGGAGAAGTTTGGACCATAGCCGTGACTCAAATTGCCGACCACGGTCGGTGGTGATCGTCGATGGCACTCCGAAACGTGCAATCGAACCGGAAGTGAACGTTAGAGCTACAGTGTCTGCAGTCATGTCTGGCATTGGGAAGGCCTCAGGCCATCGAGTGAAGCGGTCGATACACGTGAGCAAGTAGAGGTGTCCGTGGAAGGGGGAAGGGGGCCGACAATGTCGATATGTATTTGATCAAATCTGGAATCAGGGGTTTTGAAGGTGGAAAATGGAGTTACTGCGTGGCGCTGAATCTTGGACCGCTGGCAGGGTAGGCAAGTTCGGGACCATGCTCGGATGTTTTTTCTCATCCCTGGCCAAACAAATCGTGTAGCGATAAGCTGGCGAGTTGCTTGTTCTCCGGGATGAGACAGGGAGTGTAATGCGTTGAAGACAGTGCGGCGAAGTGGAGAGGATACAATGGGCGGGGTGTGCCTGTACTCATATCGCAGACGATGGTGGTTGAGGAAGCAGGGAGAGGAAGAGATTGCAGCTGGAGAGAGGTGACGTGGAGTTTTGCAGGGCCCCGAGTTCTGGGTCGGTTTCCTGAGCCTTTGCCAACACCTGGAGATCAACAGTTGGCGGTGTGTTGCATTGAAGGAACACACGGCATTGCGGGAAAGGGCATCGGCAACCACATTGTGGTGCCCTGCAACGTGACGGATATCGGTTGAGAATTGGGCAATGTAGTCCAGGTGGCGTATCCGACGCGGCGTGTACTTGTCAGAGGCAGTTGAGAGGGCAAAGGTCAGTGGTTTGTGGTCGGTGGCGATGTAAAATTCACGACCTTCCACAAAGTGTCTGAAGTGCTTGATTGCCAGGTATATTGCTAGGAGTTCGCGATCAAAAGTGCTGTAACGTGTTTCTGCTGGTCGGAGCTTCTTTGAAAAGTATGCGATCGGTTGCCAGTCGTCATCGATCTGCTGTAGCAGGACTGCACCCACAGCTGTATCTGAGGCATCAGTCATAACACATGTCGGCGCGAATGGCTTGGGGTGGGTGAGTAGGGTGGCGGTAGCGAGCGCCTCCTTGATGTTGATGAAAGCGGTTGTAGCAGCCTCGGTCCACTCAAGTGTGCGATCTTTTCCGTGGGGCGTGGCAAGCAGGTTGTTGAGTGGCCCTAAAATGGAGGCACAATGTGGAATGAAACGATGATGAAAGTTGACAAGCCCCAGGAACTCACGTAATTTCCGCAGCGACATTGGCATGGGGAAATCAGTGATGGCTTTAACCTTTGTGTCGGATGGTCGGATACCCTGGGAGCTAACAGTGTGTCCAAGGAACTCTAGCTCTGACACTCCGAACCTGCACTTGGAAGGGTTAATGATGATGCCATGTTCAGAGAGACGTTGGAACACTTGCCGAAGATGCTGCTGATGCTCTTCAGGGGATGAACTGGCAACGAGGAGGTCGTCTATGTAAGCGTAGCAGAAGGGTAACCCATGCAGGACCTGGTCGATGAAGCGTTGGAATGTTTGTGCAGCATTGCGGAGGCCGAATGGCATGCGCAAGAACTCGAAAAGACCAAACGGAGTAATTACTGCTGTTTTTGGGACGTCCTGTGGCTCAACTGGTATCTGGTGGTAGGCGCGGATGAGGTCGATTTTGGAGAAGATGTTGGTGCCGTTGAGGGAAATGGAGAAATCCTGTATGTGTGGGATGGGATATCTGTCGGGCGCCAGTCTCCCGATTTCTTGAGCACCATGTGTAAGGGAGAGGACCAATTGCTTGACGACGGTCGGATGATTCCGAGCTCGAGCATGTGGTCGAACTCCTGGCGGGCGATTTTCAGGCGTTCTGGGGAGAGACGTCGGGGTTTGGCCGAGACTGGGGGGCCATTAGTTGGAATGTGATGAGTGACACGGTGTTTGATTGGCAGCGTGCCAGCGGGCGGGAGGGAGACTGCGGGGAATTCGAGAAGAACAGCATCGAAGGGTGTGGAGGGTGCTTTGGGGAGAGGGGATGGACTAGGGGAGTTTGATGTGGCTTGGATTCCCTGCACCATCAGGTTAGTGACACAGTCTACGAGGCGGCGTTTACTCATGTCAACCAGAGGGTGCTTTGGGGAGAGGTGGATGGACTCGTTGATTTGGATGTGGCTTGGATCCCTGCACCTCAGGTTAGTGACCAGTCAACGAGGCGGCGTTTACTCATGTCAACCATCAAGCTGAAGTGTGCAAAAATCACGCCGAGATTGCATTGGCATGTCGGCAACACTGTGGATCCGGAAGTATTTACGGTACACGGTGAACGACTCCATTTCTACTGCCACTCAGCATTGCGTCGAGCACGTGGGCGTTGTCATTTCCCAGTGTGAAATCACGTGATAAAGAGAGGCCTAGAGCTAGCTAGAGAGCGATAGAGTGCGAGGACAGGGGGGCGGGGTCGGAGGAGGTCGACGGTCTACCGGAAATACTCCCATGCTGTAAAATATGCCTGCGCCCCTCCGCGCGTCCGCACCAGCGCGCGCCTGAATATACGGTATTATGGAGCATGCGGTGCTGCACGTGGAGCTAAGAGAGATGTGATGGGCCGGGGCCGGGGAGATATTCTCGAGGCCGAGTCGTCATGCGCACATGCTCCGCGCGCCGCGCTGTATATACCTATATATTGCGTGGCCGCCTGGAATCCCGCGCTCTTTTCTGAGAGAGCTCCCCGGCCGTGCTGTATAATATGCTGGCGGTTGTTATCCTTGTGAAGCTGTGGATTGCAAAGTTAGCCCCCCGTTGTATACACAACTGATTGCGGGGAAGAGCCTTGTGTTTTTGGTAAGTGTGTCAATTTTTTCCTGGGTATATACTTCGCAGAGGTGTGTGTGTTTGAGTTACGTGCAAGGGTGTGTTAGTGTTGTTCCCAACAGTTCTGCCTAGGACGTTAAAGAAAAGCGCACCTTTGGCACACGCGCGTGACGTTATATCCTGTCTCTTCTCATGTGCATGGTCCAAAGGTCAATTTGCAGAAGAGAGTCCGTGGTTCAAAGTTTAAATTGCACACAGAAGACGTACAATTAGGATAAGGGATTTGTGCTTGTGTCCTCTTAGGTGTTACACAGACATCCTGTGACTCTGTGCTGATATTTTGGGCCAAGCTACTCATTTTATTTGAAGTATATAAGTTTGGTAAACTGTGCAATCCCTCATTGCGTATTTGCTTCGTATTCCATCAGCTGTTTCAGTACAATACAAGACACTTCTGGGTTTGGCCACTGGTGCTCCTGGTTGTTGTTTTGAGGTTGTGCTGCACCTTGTGCCTCTGGTGCCTACCTCTACTGGCTTACTTTATTTGGTGACGTCCTCCTGATATACACCCAGGCTCCTGCGTCATTTCAGATAAGTTTTTTTACTATTAGAGAATGCCTTACCGCTCAGAAAGGAAAAGAAGAGCATATTTTAAGAACCGAGACAATGCAGTTAAAGCTGATTGTAACAGAAGGTATTATGTGCAGAATTCAGAGTATTTAAAGGATAAAGGTAGATTGGTTTATCACTCTGACCCTGATAGGAAAAAGGCATTGTCTAGGGCTTCATATTATGTACATTGTAATAAGAAGAAGGCAGCTGTTAGTGCCTACGTGTTTCTGATCCCAAAAAGAGAAATGCAACTGATAGAGCCCATTACAAATTGCAGCCTGGGAAGAAAAAGGCACTAGCTAGGGCATTGTATAAGTTGCACAAAGTGAAGAAGAATGCTTGTGATAGGGCATCCTATAAATGTAATGTGGAGAAGCGAAAGGCTGCTGCAAAGGCCCACTATGATGTAAACCCTACACGAAAGCGTGCAGCAAGCAAGGCAGTTTACCAAGCCCACCCTGCAAAAATGAAGGCATCGTTTCTGGACTATCATGCCTCACACCGTAGTTTGAGGCTGGCATCATTTTGCGACTATCATACCTCACACCGTAGTTCGAGGCTGGCATCATTTCGCGACTATCATACCTCACACCGTAGTTCGAGGCTGGCATCATTTCGCGACTATCATGCCTCACACCGTAGTT